TGAGGAACCCATACCTGGGCTTTTCAGCGCATGAAAATGGTGAAAGAAACTTTTCTCGAAGCTTTCCAGGTCCGCAATCAGTGAAAGATACGAACAAGGAAGCGGGGCGCGAAAAATTTCTGGCGTATTTTCATTGAATGCGGACCTGGAAAGCCTTGAAAAACGCTCACTTTTGTCAATTTCTTGTGCGAAAAAGTCCGAATAGGTTCCTTATGGCGAGAAAACCCTGAAGAAAAAGTGGAAAAAGAGATTCTGCCGGCACCCTGCCTTCAACAAACAAAGATGACTTTCTGTTTCGATAAAAAACGACCACGTAAACTAACCTTGAGGCTCTTCCTTGCGCCTATCACCGTGCAAATTGGTAGCACGTTGGAAATCGGCAATAAGTTGTCCTATACGGACCTGTACGCTTTGGGTGGCCAGAAAATTACCTACAATCCGCACAACGGTACCGCTGTCGTTGGGCGAAGGTGACGACGATCCTGTGATCAGGAAATTTGTAAAAACACAATGACACAACAACAGGATTTATCAACAGGAAAATACAAACGCAGTCTCAGTGTAACAATTCATATAAAAAGTACCTTCTTTGGGTTCATCATGTGTAGTTGGGTCTGTAACTTTGGGCTCATCTTCAGGAATTTTGACCTAAAACACACAAAGTCAAAAATAAATTCAACATCTTTCAAGCTCAAAGCAGCACCATGAACACAAGACAGTCATATACATACCGATGCTCCGGTGATGCGCTGCAGCTCGCGCACGTTCTGCCCGCCCTTGCCAATGATTCTGCCTACGAGTCGCGAGGGAACCGTCAACTCTGTTCGTAACTTCACCTAAACGATTACACTAACTATAAATTTAAACAACTGAAAGAAAAGTAAACTCCAAGCAACCATCATGAACATCAGATTACCTTTTTCATTTGCAGAAAATACTATATAGCGCTACATACAACCAGGCTTGACTACATATGATCGGCTCCACGATCCGCATAGAAGCGGGTGCAGACTTTTTTGATTATAAGAATAAACTTGTTGAACCCCCACGATATAAAGCCGCCACGCATTGAGCCTCTATGCAAATCGTGGAGCCGATGAATAGTGATTGATATGTTCGCTCTCAAATCTGCTTAGATCAAACTAGCGGCGTTTAGTGTGTTAAGGTTCAAAACTGTGAACACTAACAAGTGCAAAAATTAGCATGTACCCTAAAATCTTACAGATAAGTCCGCTTTTT